ATCAGTATACGTAATATGAAATCTAAACTATTCTAATAATTACAATGTCCAAAAAAAAAAAAAAAATAAAGTTTTTTTTTTTGTGCAAGGCTTACCTCAACTTCGGGTTTTACTCGAAAATCAGCAAGAACTTTTTGTCGATTGCCACACAAAAAATTACGGAATTCGACGTTATTTTTCGACATAACCTGACAGAGCTGATTGATAATCACTGAAAGTGATGTGAAAACGAGAGTTTTTGAAGTCGGATCACGAATGCGGATTGATTTGATACGTCGCATTATAGCATCCACCTGAAAGTGAACAAGTCGATTTAGAATTCTAACATAAATTACTTTCTTTTCGATGATAATGTATGACAAAATTAGTAAACCGACCGAAATAGCACACCAAGACAATAACTGCTGTCTACAAATACTAGCTCAGCTTTAAATTCAACTTGCGCACTAAAGATACGTAGCGATATTTTGCCAGGATTAATGTTTTTTATCGCATAAATAATACCTATAGAAATGAATAAAAAAATAATTGGCCAGCATACAGAATATCGGTGTGAAGATGTGTTTTTTGCACAGTTCCCAACAGGTTTTTGTCGCTAACGGGACCGGCTTTTCCTGCAGATGCTTCTAGCTAAACAAACTGAGACTGGCCGCCAGGACTGTCAGGAAATACTCACTTGAAATTTCAGCTTCCTAGCTTTTACTGGTCCCGAATTAGAAGCTTACCCGCCGAAAATTTTTACCGGTTCAAACGTGAGGACCACGCGCAACTGACAGCAGAACTTGAAATCACTAATTTGTACGTGGACCGGGAACATCTTAAAATTTCAGTTTTCTAGCTTTTCTAACAACTTACCCACCAAGAACTTTCTGCCTGTGCGTGGGAACCATGTGGATAAGAGTGCCCATTTTGGGACCGAGAGCCTGTATGTGCATGTATAGGTCTTGTAGCTTTTTTGTAGGTCTTGAGATGAAAAATCGGTACAGATGAACATACAGACATACAAAAACAGACAACCCCTCGACAATATGCATTTTTGCATTGCATAGATGCAAAAAACGCATAAAAATACTTTGTTTTGCTTTTCCAATTTGTCAAAAAATGTGCCCTTACCTTGACAGAAACTCTCATACTGAGTTGTACGCCAGGTTCATCCAAAAAATGAATGTTCTTGTCTGATGCCCTGCTTTCAACATATGAAATTCGATTGTAGCAAACACGAAGACGACAAACTGGACATTTCATATACCTTTCCAGTGATATAGAACCAAATTCTTCCCTATAAATAAATAAATAAATAAATAAATTAAAATTCATAATAAATGAATAAACAAATAAATAAATATATATATAACACATAACTGAATTAGGTGCTATCCTATCTCGAGACTCATTCTGTTTTTCAAACACTTGTTTTCAGATCAAAAAAAAATGCCTAGGACTTTCTTCTACTCAGACTTCTAAAATACAGCTTATCCTTTCCAAGATGACTTAATGGACCGAAACATTTCTTACCAATTACAAATATTTTAAAACTTCCCTTCCCTCCTTTTTTTTACTTCGTTCTCCTTCTCTTCTTTTTCCGTCTCTTGATTTTTTACCTTACCTTTAAATACATCTGCTAGTTTGAAAAAACTACAGAAATGAACAGAATTACCTCACGCCGAAAATCTTAACTAACATCAACGATCTGAATTAAGGGGAACAAAAAAAAACTCTAAAACCGCGTCGATTTTTTAAAGCCTGGAAAACGCTGACATCAAAAATTAATTTTTATATCCTATTTCAAGATTTCAAATTCTAAAGCATCAAATGGGTTTTACCGTCTGGAAAGCCTATTGAAGCAACGTATGCAGACGAAATGCATGCAGGGATAGATCATCCAGGAATCCGTAAGGAGCGATAAGCATATCGGACACTGGTGACTTTGCTGAGTCCGCAAATATGCTAAATATCGCAGTTTTGCGAAATTCCTCGTTTGCTCATCGTTAGCTTCTTGCAATCTAAGCAGCTCTGCAGCATGCTGAAAGACAAAATTTCGTTTTACTGAATAATTAAAGTAAGAAAATCGCAAAAATCAAAATCTCTCGCTGAAAGGTTACTCTTTCGTTAGCAGTTTTTATGCATTTTATGCTGCATCTGTTGCACAAAATGCACATTGTCGAGACCTTGTCCGATTGTGCGTGAGTATTTCTATTGCGTTTTATTCAAGGTCTTCAACTCGGGAACCAGAGAAGCTAGTAAGTTGAAATTTTAAAGGAGAATTCCCTACTGCGTGCGATCTCGCCAACTCAGATTCAGCGCTTGCGTACGCTTGCGTCCCACCTGCGGTCGCGTGAAAGTTTTGGTGTCTAAATTGATAACTCGGGAAACACAAAAGCTAGGAAGCTGAAATTTTGAGAGAATGTTCTCTGTCCGCGTATAATCAAATAAACTCAAATCCAGTTCACGCGCACGTTTGGGTCTCATGTGGAAACATGTGAAATTTTTGGCGGTAGAGTTAATGACTCGGGAAACGGCAAAAGCTAAGCAAACTGAAATTTTAGAAGAGTGCTCCCTGCCCACGTACGACTTCGCGAATTTAAATTCAACCTTCACGTACATCTAGGTCCTACTTGTGGGCATGTGAAAGTTTTGGCACGAAATTATTGAACCGGAAACCGGGAAAGCTAGGAGGCTAAAAAGTAGAAGAAATGCTGCTCACGTATGAATCCAGTCCCGCGCAACATCCTTCCTCTCCCCTCCCCCCTCCACCCCCTCCCAGTACGGACACGGAAAGGTTCTGAAGCCATAATTAATAAGCCGGGAACCAGAAAAACTAAG